TCAGGGGACTGAAAGGGCCATCTTGATTAAGCAGTTGGACGCAATTCAGCCATACAGCTTAGAATCTGCTGCTTTAGCCAAACACAGCAGCTGGTTTCTGTATTATGCACAAAGAAAGTTTTTAATCTACATATCAGCATGAAACCAATAATACTCTGTTCCATGCCTTCAAAACATCTTAAGAGTTACATTCTCAGGCAGACTAATATTTATTTATCACATGTCTCATTAAGAAACGTTGTGTAACAATCAAGGGCTCTCATCCTACACTGTAATATATATTCAAAACTTAATTAACCTCTTAAGGTTTGGCAACAACTCAAAAATGAAAAATATCTCTGGAGATATTGTTTGCTTCTGATTGACAGGTTCTTAATTTTGATTTGTAGCTTCACTACAAATGTAAAGGGTGCTGATTAAGCCAAGCCAAGTTTGATCTTTTCAATTATTTTTTTCAGAGTGGGCCGAACACAGCTTTTGTTACCATGGAATGTGAAATGTTCAGTGGAACAAAGATCTTTGTATATATAACAAAAAAAGCTTGGATTTCTGAAATGGAGGAGGCTTCTTAACTTATATTTAAAAATACGAGGGATTCTTAATTAAAAAAAACTATTTCAGAAAAAACACAAATAATCTTCATAGTTATGACAATTATTTATGCGAAATTGAACTTTATTGCCATATGTAACCGGTACATGTACTGATGCAATGGAAGTCTTACTTACAGAAAGTCTCTCGATTGTTAAAACAAAGTGCAGACAGTGCATCAAGACAATATACAAAGAAACAGTAGACAATCAACAAGTAAACAAGTAAACAGTTTGAATGTAAACAATGCAGACATGTAAACAATGACTGGAGATGTGCAATAGATAAGAAATCATAATGAGGTAGATGGTGTGTGTGTGGTCCGAAGGGCATGGCTAAATGTGTTCGCCAATCGCACTGCTTGTGGGTAGAAGCTATTGAAGAATCTAGTGGTCAGTGTCCGTATGCTCTTGTATCTCTTGCCTGAGGGCAGTGGGGTGAAGAGCTCATGCCCGGGGTGGTGACTGTCCTCTGTGATGGTCAGAATACTACCACGCCAGCAGTCCTCATGGAGCTGTTTAATCTCGGTGAGACCACAGCCGATGATCTTCTGGACCATACTGACCAGTGCCTTCCTTTCTCGCGAAGAGGTGTTGCCGTACCACACGGTGATCCTTGATCCTCATCGTTTGAGGCATCTCAAGAAATAAAGGCGCTGCTGAACCTTCTTCAAGATAGAGTCCGTGTTCACAGTCCAGGTTAGATCTTTAGAGATGTAAATTCCCAAAAACCAAAAGCTGGTGACTGTTTCCACTTCCATTCCAACAATACTGAGTGGGCTGTGAGTGTCTCCGAAAGTCCACTATCAGTTCTTTCGTTTTATTTACGTTCAAGTCCAGGTTATTGCTATGACACCACCTAAGCAGCTGTACGACTTCATCCCTGTAAGTGGACTCGTCATCATCGCTGATCAGGCCTATTATAGTGGTGTCATCCGCAAACTTAATGATGCGGTTGTTGCTGTGAGAACACATTACAGGGGCAGGGTCCTCAAAGGGCTCTACTTTCCCAATGAAGTACGCATTTTTTAGACATTTCTGCCTCTAAGAAGACGGCTGACCAGAGCTGCCACCCACAAAACGGAGATTGCAAACAATCAGTAGAACGGAGAGCGGTTGCATGCCCTACCTGAGACTATATAAGCAGACAGCCGAACAGGCAAAGGAGAAGAAACTGGCCAGATGACTAAAAGGAGGAGATACTCTGTGTGAAACTGAGACCAGGAAACAATTCTCTGTGTAAGACTGCAACCGGGAGGAGAAGACTCGTGTGAGTAACCACCTACTATGTATAACCTGTATAGCGTGAGAGATGCTGTAAAAGAGCCTGTGTGGCTGAACAACAGTAAGTTTTCATTAATACCAGTAAGCAGCTTATTTGTCCGGTAGGTAGACAGGGAGTATACACCAGCTTAGGCAGTAGCTCAACAAAGACCTAGGTGTTTTAGTTTGTTGTTGCGTTTTGTGACTGGTATGTTTTTCACTTTGAAAATAAAGGAGCACTACTTGGAACGTGTTGGGTTAGACCCAGGTATTCTGAGAGCCTGGTCATGACCCTTGTGTCATCACACTGCTCTCAAGTGGTGCTGCTAAAACTAAACCTAAATTTGGATTTAGAGAATCCTTTCCCAAAACTCTGCCTCAAACACTACTTCTCTAAAGCACTCAGTGACAAACTGTACAATATATATGTATATTGTACTCATCATCCTCACATTATATCATTAGAATAAACTCACCATCAGAAACAGGTAAGAAAGATCACTTTAATATAATGTAAAAATAAGTTTTGACTTTGCTCTCCAAACACTTTTGGAGGGCACCGTATCATGGAATATAAGGAATGTTTCACTCTGACCGAGGACCCATTCAATACCAAGTGCCTTATCCACATCCGCAAGTGTCACTGGTCCAGACAGAGATATGGGATAGAAGTGAATCAGCTTAACTTCAGTCGGATCACATTTTTAAAAGGAAGCCAAACAAGACGACGCACACTTTTATGGAGCATTCCTTTGGGTTTTTTCCAATGCAGATCTGACAAAATGCACTAAGAAAGCACTGCCTCAACAAATGCTGAGAAAAAGAATCGGAGAAACAAACTGACAAATTAACATTTGGGTAGTGTTAATTACCACTCATGACTGAACACAAATAGCATCCTGCCATCACAGATACTTTCCCTATATCTTGCAACTGACCATAGTAATTAGCCACAACCACTACCATATTGCTCATCTAAAACAACACACTCCAGAATAATCCAACAGGAAAGTTACATTCAGTCTATTGGAAATAGGTTAAGGAACACACACTAGGTATTTTTTCACCTCATGGCCTTTAAAATCAGATGAAAATGCCCTTCGCTGTGCACAGTAATGAAGGTACTGTATGTCTGAATCAAGGCATTACATTTCAACATTACATCTCATGACCTAATCAAATTATAATCTTTTTTCAACAAAGTCAGCCTATTTACCCTTTATAATTATTTCTGTTCAGTGCGGAAATAAAATCTTTTGAAACCTTTTCAATGTTTCATGAGCTATTTTAAAATTACAACCACCACTTTTGAAGCCACTCTGCATCTTTCATGTCACTTCCTCGAATCTTGATTCTACCATAAATTTTGAAAAATGTACATTTTTTATTAGGATAATCAAAAGATCTAAAGGGTCCAAGACAGAAATATGCCAACCTCCACTGCTCAAAATGCACAGATTAGATAAGGGTTGTTTCATGACCACTCTAACCAGGCTTTGATCTGTGTAGATCTCTATCCTCTGCAAGGTTCCATTACCAATTTCCATTGATTTTTATATTTTATGAGGTATATAGGCAATAATCTGAGCTTAAGATCTATCCACATCTAAACGTACAAAGAAGAAAATGACGTTTTAATTGCATCATTTTTGATTATCCTGATATTAAAATCCACCAGGTTACTATAGTTTACAAAGTTATCCTATTTACCCAATTTGTAGTTCACCCATTGTACCAAAAATACTGTTCAAGAGAATTAAGTCAAGGCTTTTGAATAATTTGACTTACTGTAAAACAGATACTCAAGAAGTAGCACACCCAAGTGACAGAATCCCGTGTCTGAACACAATCTATTTGGATTGCTCTATTTTCTAGTGTCAAATGAGCTAGAAAAAGTCACTTTCAAGTACAGTTAAAAATCCCAGGGTGTTTCTTGAAAGAGGTAGGGTGTTACCTCAGCATCCTGGCCAAATTTCCCATTGGCCTTTACCAGTCATGGCCTCCTAATAATCCTCATCTATGAATTGGCTTCATCACTCCCTTCTCTTCCCCACTGATAGCTGATGTGTGGTGAGCGTTCTGGCGCACTATGACTGCCATTGCCATCAGTCAGGTGGAGCTACACATTGGTGGTGGTGGGGAGTAGTCCCCATTACCTGTAAAGCGCTTTGAGTGGAGTGTCCAGAAAAGCACTATATAAGTTTAAGGAATGTATTATTATTTTTATTATTAAATGAATGTCTTGCACTCAGGCTAAGAGAACTAGATATTTTCAGTCTTGAACAGAGAACATAAGTGTAAACAATGTGGTTTATAATGCCATGAACAAGAGGCATGTCTTGACCCAAGATGTTGTACAAGTATAGAAAAAGCAACTCAGCCATATTGTTGAAGCCAGGAACCTGTCTGGATATGTTTTCCATTAGCTTCTTGATACCAAACTAGCAAGAAGGGTTGAGTTGTTGCATTTGTTAATACTTGCAACATGAACAATTATTTACAATTTTGTTTTGTCATTCTAATTAACACTGGATCAGAGAATCTCATTCCAGAGCAGTTATCCCTCTTGTCTCTTTAAAACTAAAGTATCTAGTACAAATCAAACTAATGAAACTATGTTTAACTGCACTCAAAAAACAGTTGATTGTTTTACTAACATTTTGCAGTTTACATCACATACAGGTACTTTTGTTAATGTTTATGTATGTAGAGTGCGTGCTTTGCAATTTTCTATTTATGTATCCTACTTTAACATGTTACAGCACAAAAACAAAATATTATCTGAATAACTCAGGACTATCCCTCCATAGGTATAACTCGAGCAAGGGGAAAGTGGAGCTGTAAGGGATTTTCAGATAAAGAGCTATGAATCATCTTCCACAATCAGGCAATCAGGATGTCTGATCAAAACAATATACAGAGCCTGCCTGTGCAAAGTGGAGTATTAAAAACAAACAAACACCGCTGATTGAAATTGCAAGGTTATGTAAAAAAAACAGTAACAACTTCCGAAGCCTGCAGTCCAAACAATGAACTCTACTACTCCTGCAGCTATTATTTCCTGCAGCCCAGTCTGGGGCACATTTTTCACTTGATTAAATTTGCAAGAGTCATCCTGTACTCTTTGTCTTCAGATGATGTACCTACCTTGCAGTTCTCCACTTTTGCTGTACAGCTCTCTCCTCTGCTCACGCAGATAGGCGCTCATGCTTATAGCGTGGGATGAAGATTCGAACCTGAAACACAGAGTTTTCCAAAAAATGTCAAGATGCGGTTGATTAGTGGTTTCTCTTACTGATATCTCCCAAACATTCAGAATGCAGCCATCAACATTAAAGCATAATCTCTACCAGTCATGTACATGAATGGTACTATGAAATGACAACTGAAGATTCAACACAAACTAATGCATTTTCTACAGGAATACTGAATGAAAGAATGGAAAAGCATAAATTTCATAGCTGACAACTATGTTTGTGTTAATGCTGTTATACCTTACCTCTTCATAAAAATGCATACATAACTATCACTTTCTCAAAGCATGGCACATATTTATGAACTATATTCATTAATAATTCAAGAATCTGGTTCCTTTTGTCCCCTGTAAAATTACAATTATTCACCCACGATCATTTGCAAATTTTAGATGGTAAGGTTTAGACGGGGAACTCTCTATTAAACTGCTGATCTTTTTATATCAACTAAATTTCTCATTTTATTTTTTCTGTCTTATTCAATTCATTCATCTTCAAAAACTTTCCTTAATGTACTACTGACCTGGACCTATAGGTGTTCGGATTTTTTTTAACGTGACGAGCCCTGAGACTTCTTGAATGAAGAGTTCTATACTAAAACAATGTACTTTGTATCTAATCACAAGGTTTAATGTAAGTGACTAGAAATTTATATATTATTTATATAAATATTTGAGTTTAAATTAAATCCTAGCAGACTAAACTCCTAAGAATTCATTAAAAATGTTATTTACAGTTGTTTTACAGTCTGTGTTCTATTAATCAAATTGTATTTTAAGTAGAAGTATTTGGATTATCAGGCTCCTAAATGATGTGTAATGACTACTGATGAGCAGAATCAAGTTTTCCCAGAATTAACATTTCTTACTTGAAAAGGGACTGCTTGGGCCTCTGGGGTTTCTTTTTGCCAAAGAAGGTAGCAAAGTCACTGCCAGAACTGGCGTAGGTGAGCTGAGCTGTGGGCTCAGAAGCACTGCGAGTGTTCTTCACATCTAGATAATCCATCAGCAACACCTACACAAGGGGAATGCAAGACAGATGATAAACCCCAGACCTCTTTATCACCCATATTTACATATTTATTTTATTTCCATGTTCCGGTGCACCAACTAAAATACAAGTTCTTTTGAAAACAAACCACTGTGCACGTGTCTCGAACTCATTCAGGAGCCACATTAGTCAAAGCTTTCTCTGGTGTCGTAACTGCTTAATGACAGGCTTGACTTCTTCTCATTGATCACAATCAAAGCAATCTTTAATTGCCATTAATCAGAATCCGCACACACCTGTGATCTCAATAGTAAAAGGCAACATTCTGTTTGATGAAATACAGAAATCAATTAATTTTTAACTTAAAATTACAACAATTTCATAAAACTGTTACTGAATTTTGTTATTAGATTAAGAAGAAACATCATTTAGCAAAATGGACACTATCACTCAATTGTCAAGGTCAGGTATCCAAAGATTAATCAACAAGTACAGGGAATTATTATATGCATCTTACAGACCAAGGGCTGGAAGAACTAAAAGCTGTTTAAACAGGAATGAGCAATGCTTGAAGTTAATATCCTTACAATCAATAGCATTACCATCTTGTAGTGTCATATCATCATCAGATAAGCAAAATTGGGCCTGGTCAGTATTGTGATGGAAGACATTTAAAAAAAACAGGATGCTTGTCACTGGTTGACCAGTAGGTGGCAGTCTTTCCTATGGAACCAAACTTCCAATTCTCAGTATGGTGACAGGGGACATTGTACCATAGAAGGTGACATCTTTGGAACTTCTAATCCAAGGTCTCGACTACTTGGTCATTAAAGATCCTATGGCATGGGTTTAAAGCGTGTTATAAACCATGGTATCCTGACTAAATTACACTTCAGGTTTGATCAATCTGCCCTACCTACCCTAAAGGTAGATTTTTACCCTTAACTCAAGTGGAGAAGTAATTCTGCACTCCTCCAGTTTTATAATGGGTATAGAAAGTCACAAACCCATTTCAAAATTTGTACCTTTTGTTGTATGAAGCTCTGAAAATAAAAAACAAAATTAAATTAGGCTTTTTTATTTACACACAGTGACCCACATTAGCCAAGTGAAAACTATATAAAACATTCTGAAAATTAATTAATATTACAACAGTAAAATAACATATTTGGATAAGTGAACACCCCCCTTACAATTGCATTTTTAAACTTGCTCAGGTATAATCACCTTACAGATCACACAACAAACTAATTGGCTCCCACCTGTGATCAACTGTGGTGATTTTGATTAGTTCAGAATAAAAGCAGCTTTTCCTAGAGGATCCCACGGCTTGGAAGTGCATTTCAAAGCAAAGAATCCACTATGGGCAGAAAGGTGCTTTCAAAAGAACTTTGAGATGAAATTGTGGAAAGGCACAAGTCAGGAGATGGGTATAAAAACATTTCCAAGGTTTTAAGTATCCCATGGAGCACAGTCAAGACCATCATTAAGAAGCTGAAGGCGTACGGCACCATCCAGACCTTGTCTAGATCAGGCTGTCTCTCCAAACTGGATGACCAAGCTAAAGGAGACTGATCAGAGGGGATACCAAGAGGCCGATGGCAACTTTGAAGGAGCTACAGGCCTTTATGGCAAAGACTGGTCATTGTGTGCATGTGACAACATCACAAGCGCTCCACAAATCTGGCCTGTATGGGAGGGTGGCAAGAAAAAAAGGCACATCAAGTATTGTTTATGTTTTGCTAAAAAGCACCTTAAAGATTCTGTGGCCAAGTGGACCAAAATCAAACTTTTTGACCAGAATGTAAAACAGTAAGTCTGCCGAAAACCCAATACATTTTACCACCCAAAGAATACCATTCCTACAGTAAAGCACGATGGTGGCAGCATCCTGTTGTGGGATTGTTTTATCCTCAGCTGGGACTGGGTAACTTGTCAGGATAGAAGGGAAGATGGATGGTACAAACTACAGGCAAATTATTGAAGAAAACCTGCAGCCCTCAGCCAGGAAGTTGAAAGTGGGAAGAAGGTTCACCTTTCAACATGACAATGACTCAAAGCACACCACCAAAGCAACTGTACAGTGGCTGAAGGACAGGAAGGTGAATGTCCTGGAGTGGCATAGTCAGAGCCCTGACCTAAATCCCATTGAAAATCTTTGGAATGACTTGAAGAGGGCAGTTCATCAACGGTCACCACGCAGTTTGACTGAGCTCGAACAATTCTGTAAGGAGGAATGGGCAAATATTCTTCCCTCTAGGTGTGCAAAGTTGGTAGAGATGTATCCAAACAGACTCAAGGCTGTAATTCAAGCAAACCACCACATATTAATTCAGGAAGTGTTCTCTTATCCAACCCAGGTACATGTATTCTACTTATTTTTTCACTTGGATGTTGCAAGGTACAATTTGTAAATAAAACTGGAAAATTTATTTGTCTTCTTTTTGGGCTTTAAGGCAACAAAAGGTGAGCATATTGAACGGGGGTGATGACTTTCTATACCCACTGTCGTGTGGTGTAGGTGGTGCTCTATTACTACTTGGCACAGAATGGCTGCCATGTGTCACCATGTGATATCTGCATTCAATAGTGGAAAAACCTAGGTGTGAATCTCTAAGGAAACCTGATGTGTTATACCATTCTTCCTTAAACTTTATCACAAGCACCCCCATCAACTCATTACTGAAACCTTTATTCTTTGTCTGATTGACCCTACTTTAAATTAATTTACAGACCTTAAACTGAGAAATCTTATCTTAAGAATGTATTGGCAGTTCTCTGTACTATCCTACAATTTAAGACACTACCTTTAACACACTGAATCTCCCAAAAGCATTTACTACCTTGGATGCCAGTCAAACTGCCACTGGCAGAGGCTAGCTTGTCATTGTAAATTAAATGCTCTCACTTTGAAAAAATACAGGAGGATCTCGACATCCAAGAGCTTATCATTTGAGAATTCGGTTATCTGTGATTTGGTCTCAGCAACTGGGTCTTGGAGGAAAAAAAGAGCAGAGCGGGACAAAACTGAGCTGAACTGTTAATGGCAATCTTCAAATTATCAGAGCAACAGACTTGGATTATGAGAAGAATCTAGCTAGTGAGTGATCATCTCCCTGCCACCTTCCCAAGTATTCACTACCCTGCATTCACATCCCAGTCTTGTTTTTATACTGCAACAAACACTCTTGGTTCTGCTTCAAAAGCATGGGAAAGGACAGGCTGGAGATGACTTCACAGACTCACTGACAGTTTTACTGACTGTTTACTGCAGTGGGGCATGCTAATCACAGACAGAGATTACGAGAAAAAGTGCAGGCATTCCCTGGAGGTACAGGAGGGATTCATGCTGTTGTTCCCGAAGTAAATTTCTATTCTTCCTAGGAAAATGTGAATTTTATATATTTTGACCTTAGATTTAAAGCAGTTTATAACCTCTTGGCCTCTTGTTATTTTTTAAGTTCTTTAAAAAGGGTTTAATATGAATCCAGAATACTCAGCTAAAATAATTAAAATTTAATGTCAAAAGAAAAAGGTATTTGAAAACCCTTTAAAAACCCTCAAACCCTCTGTCAGTTCTTAAAAAAGACATAATACAGAATTCCACAAGCTTTTATACAGCATATTCTGAGAAGACTTTCATTGGTTTGGAAGATCAAAAGGGGGACATACTGAATTAGATTGTATATTAAGGTGAGTATTATATATACATTTATTTATCTGAATAATATTTATTAATATTTATTTGTTGTTTTAATTTTGAAAACAGTTTTAGTTTATGTATGCATTATAGAAAACATAATAAGAATATAAGAAAAACACAAATATGCCTAAGTCTTCTGCACAGCAGTGTACTGTAAATGTTATCTACACCACAGATGTGAAGGGTAATTCTGATATGAGACTTACAAACTGCAGCACTTTGGATTTTTATATAGGTGTCCAACTCACATAGGCAGAAAACAGTGTGCAGTATTCTCATGCAAGTGCAGAGAGGCTGAATATTTTAAGAGTTATGTGTCTGACAAGTGGTGCGATTGCTTCCCCTGGCTTCATAAACAGCACATGCATTTAAAAATCCCAATATCTTCTGCTCTCACTTTGAAAAATACCACATTTTCAATACATAAATTGCACTTGAAGTACTTAAAAACATCTGTCATTTCTGTTCACAAACTGTGAATGCGATATATATTGACTTGAGATTTGAGGCTGTTCATAACCTTTGATATTATTTAGGCACCATTGCAAATGTCACACAACCCATAAGAGAAAACAATTACAGCATATAAATATATCTTAATTTTTACGACATAATTAAACTGCAAAATAAACTAACAGTAGAAAATTTAATCTATGGCATTCATTGAGCATTAGAAAGCAAGTGACGTTATAATTCCGTCTCTGTATTAATTGCTAATGACGAACTGATGTACTGATGGAAGTAGCAGAGTATGTAACCTTGGACTTAATTAAACGCCAGCTTTTACTGATGGAGAGTCCAGCCTGCTTAAATTGCATTAACATGAACTACTGAACTTTTGAAGCAATTAACCACAAAGGCGCACAAAGTATGTTTCATGACAGATTAAGTATAGGTCTTCAGAATAAAGCAGTGCTTCAAAAATTACACAGACATCAACATTTTGTTTTAAAAAAGCACGGCGGGGTTTACTCAACAAGTTTGAGGTCTGTGACTGACCTTTGTGGGATATAAATCTGTTTAACAGCTAATCCGCAAATAAAATGTTAATGGCCTGATAATATTCCTTGCCTGTATCCTGTAACTGCTAATAGATAATAAGATCACAAATTTGTTTCCATTTAAGTGCTGGGAAAATCTTAAGCTTAGTTTCAGACTAATAAAAGATGGTTTTCCTCCAGGAGACAAGAGATGATTAATTTTTTTGTGAAAGCTGTAAATTACCCTCCACCCTCATTATACCAATAACCGTTATATATGCATCTCGCCCAGAAGGTAACTATTCTTCTGCTGTCAACAATATTAAATCTTATTAAAATCA